TTTAAATAACGTGCAACCTAAAACTAGGTATTAACCTCGCAAAAGAAAAAAACTAGGTATCAAACATTGTATTTGTTTGGTGTTGTAATAAGATATATTCGATCCTCAGTCTACTCTTTTAAAAAGTTTATTTTACTTTTACTATATACTATCGTATATATTTGAAAAAAATCAGATACGGAGTAAAATATAGCGATAACACCACCCAAGGTGACTAAGAGAGAATTCCCTAAATAGGATTAAAAACGTTTTGAAATTCCAAAATAGGAGTATCATGTTTTTTATTCCCTAAATATGAGTAAATTTCTGTCAGGTTTGGCATTACAAAGCTTTAAACATGGCATTTTTTTTTTCAAATGTGGCAGATTACTCCTATTCAGGGAATAAAAAACATGATACTCCTATTTTGGAATTTCAAAACGTTTTTACTCCTATTTAGGGCAATTTCTGGGTGACTAATTATGGAGTGTTATACCATTTCAAGAATGCAATAGAAAAGTTCATCTTGATCATTGTGTTTTTGTTTATCTTTTCCTTGCCAAAACTTTTGAGTCAATGTTTTGGATGCCCAATTTTTTCCGCACATATAATTCCTAAGATGTGTGGAGTTCATGTATAAATTAACATAGCACTCACACATATAATCATCATCTAGAAACATACTTCTTTTTCCTTGGGTTCAGAATAAATTCTACAATGTCCTGAGCCTGTGCTCTGGTGAATGTTGAAAAAGAATCCAAGTTTTTTGCACATGAATTGTTGCTCGATCGGGATGTTAAATTGGTCATGTGCATGACATTTTTAGTTAATCTTACACATTTTTTTGTGATTAACGATTTTAGTTCCATGGGGCGGGGCAATGGTGAAATGATTATTACACCGGATGATTTAAACTTTAATTTGATAATTGATGTCATTATGGTGTTTGTTCAAGAGAAAGATGTGTAATTCAATATACTACGTATCTCTTACAAAGTTGATACACTATAATTTTTCACAGTTAAGCATAGCTTCAAGAGCTAAATTATTTTGGATGCAGAAATTTAAGGTGAGGATACATGCAATCAATAACTGAAATATTGTCATAATGGATTTATTTGAATAAATCTATTATATTAACCACTTGGAATGTATGTTGTGAAAGTAGAGCCTGTCTGAATTTGGTAGCGTGCTAGGATTGCTCGGCTAACATCGCTTATCCGATAAAAAAATCAATTGCAAGTTTAGGGGTCTGTCACTGTGTGTTTTTCATCAAGTTGGGCAAATACTTCTGAAATAGTTTCACAGGGTATTAAGGACGTCTTCAAAAGAAATGGACCACATAATGGCTTTCATACCTGTTTTTTGGGAACAAAAACCATTTAATTCCTTAAAAAAGTCATAAAAGTCGTGTATCGGCGTCTACATAGATATGGGTAAGGAAGGATGTCATGAATCATGATGAGCAAGAGATGGACATTGAAACTATATTGCCGTACCTATTTTGCTACAAATTGCCAGTTTATTATTCTTTATATACTTCGTACAAGTTCCAATTCCCATCTTTAAAGGTAAAAAATATTCATCATTTCATTATATATATTTCGTCCGTTAAAGTTTGAAATGCCTGAATATAATGTGAAATAAGATAGTAAAAATGTGTCTTTGAAGTTTTTGCGGAAAAAATAATAAATGCATATTAGTTAAAGAAAGTGATAGATTTTTTGGGAAAATAAAAATGGCAATGAAAATGTACTATATTTTACCTTCATTTGGAAATGAAAATAACGATGCTACTTTCATATGAGGATGAAAATGTACTACGTAGTATACTTTACATGTATCTAATTAATTTTCTCTATTTGTTTGACAATAACTTCATTTGGAAGTTTTTTTAGGACTTCATTTGGAAGTTATAAATTAAAGTGTATTTGGTGACTATATTTTCTCAAATTTATTCCTTTTGTCTCATGTCATTATACCCATCGTTACTTTTATGTGTGCACTACATTGTTACCATTGTTACATGAATTTATCTATTTCGTAATATCTATATTATCCTAAACAACATATACACCACTACTATAATTATTTATTTGTTAATGCATTGTGATAAACAACATACTACTAATATCATAAATTTTACTCCGTGCAACGTACGGGTAGAATACTAGTACATTTAAAAAAAAAGATTTATGAAATCAAGAAAGACTTCAAGTGTAATTAAAAGTAAACTAAAGTTCAAAGTGTACAAAATTTGACCCCTTAATCGCTCTTTAGAACGTTGAATACGACACAAATAAATTACCTAACACAAAAAATTAATGTCAAAAGGTTAGAACCAATAATTATGTGCAATCTAATTGGCTATCGCATTTCTTTATTTAGAGCAATGAGATATAAAAAGTAAACCAAATACTCTTAACTGTTAGTAAGTTAGAGTATAAAAACCAAATCAAATTACCCAAACCATCTTTAGTTTCAAAACTTTTAAAGATTTAAACGGTGTTGAGAATTCTATAATACCATACTCATGTATATATTGTATTGAGATAAAAAAGTCCATTCTTCTACATCTTGTTTTTCGTCATCAATGCTAACATTGTCGATCTAATCTTTGTCTCCCATGACTCTATGTCCATCACTTGTAGTGACCATCTGATTTATCCCTTTCCTGCAATTCTTTTGCTTCTTTGACTTTTAACATATTTCTTCATTTGGATTCTTCAAGCTAAAGAAAATGACATCTCATTTACAACAAAGTGTAACATCGCAAGCCCTTAAAAATCAATTTCCAAATTCAAGTTACAATAATTAGATTAGCTACATTGGTTTTTCATTAGTATAGATCCATCTACCAAGAGATCTTAGAAAATGTGATTACCTTAAGTAATATGGTTCTTGATCTTGCACAATCATTTGGTCTAATCTCCAATAATTGTTTCTGGTCTAATGTCCAATAATTGTTGCATAAACTTAGCTCCTCCAATCTTGTTCATGTGCATCAAACAGATTGCAAGGTTGCATTGCATATTCCTATCAAATAGTTTGCAAGGTAACATCAGCATATGAAACAATAGAAAAAGATCTATCCAAGCATAAATATACCTTGCATCCATTATTTGAGCAATTTAGCAGTAGTAGCATCTTACTATTAATCAAATATCCAACCATAGCTCATTAGCTAACTTTAGGATACATGAGAATTACAAATTTCCTGCCCAAAGCAAAATTTGGTAAAACAGTGTAAAAATAAAATATTGAGAAAACTATCAAATAAGCTCTCCTACTATGTCCAAAAAGTCAATCAAGTCCCCGTACTTCAAAATCACCCAATTAAGTCCATGAAGTTATAAAAAATGCTCAATTCAGCCGTTTAGTAGGTCACCTCCCGATTTCCCAGTCAAAAGTTTAAGTGAATGTCTATGTGGCAAGTTTTTAATTTTTTATGTTTTTTGGAAAAAATTAATTCAACCCACCTTTCTTTTCTAAATATGACGTGTACCAATCTTCTGTACCCTTCCCTTTCATCTCTTCGTCCAAGTCACGTTGGTGCAAGAAATGTTGGGATAGGAGGTTGAAGTAGAAGATGCTGGCGGCGAAGGCTGAAGCTGAATGGAGGATAACGGTGATGATGGCGGAAGTAGAAGAGTCAACTCAGCTCTTCAGTGAACAGGATAACCGATTGGCCGCCAACTCGCCATGGTCATTGACCTTCGAGATCAGCGGCATAATTAAGAAGTTGGTCGAGTTGGAGGAAAACGGTGATGGCAATGATGGAAAAGAAAGACGGGAGTCTTCTTCATCTATATTGGACCAGTTGAGGTAGTTTGGTGAGATGGAGACTCCATTAATGGAGATCCGGATTCCAGATATGTAATTTTTCCCCCAAGTAATAAGTATGGATCTTTAGATTTACATACTTGAAAACTAAATTAATAAATGGTAGAATCGTAGCCAGTAGATTAAAGTGTGGGTACTTCTTTTAACCGAAGTTTTCTTGTTACCTTCGCCGGTTTTGTTTCTTGACCCGCAGCAGCTTCAACCTCCATTAATGGCCATGAAAGCTTGAGATACTTAATCTAAACGTCAATGGGATGTAGAGAGGTGACATTGGTAGATTGTTTAATAGGTATTACAAGATTTCAATTTTAAATCTAACATTTTTATCGGTGGGAAGAAGCTGCCATATTCTAACAAGGTCTTTGACAAGAGGAAGAAAGAGAGACGGAAGGGAATGAGGAAAAAGAAAAAGAAAATAAAAAGAAGAGGGGAAGGGGGGTTTGACGTGGGCTGCCACGTGTGCATCGTGCCATGCCATGCGAACGCCGTGTCAGACCAGGTCAGCGAGCAACGGGATAACCGGGTGTTTACTGCTTAATAAGCGGAATTGGGTGTTTTTTGAAACTTCGTGGACTTAATTGGGTGATTTGGGCGTACGAGGGCTTAATTGATGAATCTGCCATAGTAGGAGGGCTTATTTGATAGTTTTCTCTAAAATATATTAACACCAACCTAACGGTCACTTTCATACTCCCTCCTTAATTAAAAGATCCATACGTTAGGTTTAAGTAGGAGTAATAGGGGTAATAGTAGGGGTAATAGAGGGAGAATAGTTGGGGTAATAGAAGGAGAATAGTATGGGTAATGAATAGTATAGAAAAAGTAAGAGAGAAGGTGAAAAAGTAGGAAAGAGAGGACAAAAAGTAGAAAAAAGTAAGGGTAATTGAGTATTTTTAAAGGAAAAACTTACCAAAAAGGAAAAATATATGGAACTTTTAAATACATCCCAAAATAGAAAGTGTATGGAACTTTAAAGAGATATTACCCGAAATAGGACTAAAAAGGTTTGAAAATTCCAAAATAGGACTGCCATGTTTTTATTCCCAAAATAGGACTAATTACTGTCATGTTTTGGCAGTACCAGACTTCAAACATGGCAGTATTTTCCAAACTTGACAGTAATTACTCCTATTTTGGGAATAAAAAACATGACAGTCCTATTTTGGAATTTTCAAACTGTTTTAGTCCTATTTTGAAAACTTTCCCAACTTTATTTTTTTTTTTGGATGAAATGTAAATGTATATTAATACCCAGAAAAAAACTATACATCAAGTGTCCTAGATTTCCTAAAACCCCCCCACCTCCACATAATGTGAGGGTGAAGAGAGGTTTTTTTTTTTCTCGATCTAATCCACACCAAAAGGACCAAGCATAAATACTTGCCAATCAAAAAATCAAACATACATCCGTGCTACTTAAGTAAGCAACTAGAGCAGAAGTTCAAAAGTTAAAAGAAATACAAAGGTGGTAGCAAACACCCCCCGTCCAAGACGCTACCTCATGACGTGGCATCCAAGATGTCCATGCCTTGGTGTCCGAATTGTCCAAGCCGCGGCATCCAAAAGGTCCATGCCGCGACATACAAGTGTCCATGTGGCAGTGTCAATTAACTTCAAACCTCGGCATCCAAAATATCCATGCATTTGCCTTCTTCAAAATTTAACCAAGTCATGTGGATATATACTGAATAGTATCTTATATACCACATGCTTGATTTTCGCAATGGTCTCCTCCTCCTTCACATCCGCTTCGTCAAATCGGTTGGCATTCCTAGCGTGCCAAAGGTAATAGACCGTGGCACAAAAGGCAATACGAGCAGCTTTCCCTTTGATCTTCGATCCTTTATGATTCTTCAAAATCCATTTGACTGAGCTATTGAGTGTGGACATCTCCCTTGTTAATCCCAACCAGTCTTTAATATGCTCCCAAACCCTACAAGTGTAAGGACAAAGAAAGAAGAGGTGTGGCATTGTTTCCAAGCCACCCTTACAAAGGTCACATCGGTTAACAATATGCAAGTAACTGAGGTTATCCTGTGTAGGTAACCTGTTACGCAAGGCAAGCCAAACATTAAACGAGAATTTGGGAGGGATATAAGATTTCCATATGAAACTCATACAAGCTCGAACCGTCCCTTTAGTTCTCAAAAGTTCATATATCTTACCCGATACTAGTTTCCCATTCTCGGATCTAGCATTTAGACCCATTATGGTATCATTTAGGTTGTTAAAACATCTCTTGATTTGGTCTCGGATGTGACTCAATTTCTTCATGAACATTGAGTCACGATTGCGTGGAACAAAATCCCACACACTCCTACCTTTGAGATAGACCCCATTGACCCATCTCACCCATAGTGTATCCTTTTTCTTATGGACGTCCCAAAGTGTTCGAGATAGGAGGGCATGGTTCCAAACCTTGGCATTATGAATGCCAAGGCCCCCCTCCTCTTTTGGAAGACAAATGTCATCCCAAGCCACTTTAGAGAACTTTCCACCCCATAAGAAGACTCTACATATAGAGACTATCCTATCTAAAATAGTTTGGGGGACCGGAAACACTTGTAGCCAAAAAGATTGGACCCCTTGGATCACCGATCTAATCAACTCTAGTTTCCCGGCATAGGATAAAGTCTTAGTATTCCAAGCTTTCAAGAAGTCAGAGATAGTAGAAATCAGGGGCGCATATTGAGCCACCGAAACCTTTAACGGGGCAAGTGGTATTCCAAGGTATTTTACCGGGAACGTCCCACGCCCAAAGTCCACAAGGGCCATAATCTCATCCAGATCATTATCATTAACACCCCCCACAAAAATGTTAGATTTATTGTGGTTAACCATTAGGCCCGATGCGTCCCCAAACTCTTTAAGGGCATTGACAAGTATTTCTATAGAATACGTGTCGCCTCGTGAGAAAAGTATTAGGTCATCCGCATAGGCCAAGTGGGTAATGCCAAGCTTCGCACATTGGGGATGAAAATTAAAGTTCGGCCCTTTGGTTTTTAAATTAATCAATCGTGAAAAATATTCAAGACAAAGCACAAAAAGAAGCGGAGACATTGGATCCCCTTGGCGAATACCTCTTTTGCCCTTAAAATAGCCATACAAACATCCATTCAAAGATATGGAAAATGAAGCCGTGGTTACACACTCCATAATCCACCCAATAAATCTATCGGGGAAGTCCAACCCTCTTAGGACTCCCTCAAGAAAATTCCATGAGATCGTATCATAAGCCTTACGCAAATCCACCTTGATCATGCATCTTGGTGAGATTCGCTTCCTCATGTATCCTCTAACGAGTTCTTGTGCAAGAAAAATGTTATCAAACATGAGGCGTCCATCAACAAAAGCACCTTGGGCTAGGTCAATCAAGCCGGGAAGGCATTGACTAAGTCTAGCCGCTAGGATTTTTGTGATGATTTTATACAAGACATTCGTGCAAGAGATTGGTCTATAGTCTGAGACCTTCGGTGAGTGGTCTGTTTTGGGGATAAGTGCAATAACCGTGTGGTTAATTTGCTTAAGTAACTTACCCGAACGAAAGAACTCTTTGATGGCCCGGACTATGTCATGCCCAATAAGTTCCCAATTAGACTTAAAAAAAGCAGAAGAATAACCATCCGGTCCTGGTGCCTTGTCATTGCCGATGTCAAATAGAGCATTTTTAATCTCTATCGTCTCAACTGGCGCAAGGAGGCTCTCATGAGCACTACTTCCCACCAATGGACCAGATCCCAAAACCGTGGGATCCAAAGGATGGCCTTCAGTACCTGTACCAAACAAATCCACAAAAAACTTTACAAATTCATCTCCAACTTGCTCTAAAGATGTAGTAAGACTACCATCCTCCAGAGTAATAGCGGATATTGCATTCCGTGTTGCCTTCCTTTTCACGATTGCATGAAAGTACCTAGTGCCTTTGTCCGCTTCCAAGATGTGGTTAGCCTTTGCCTTTTGTTGGTAAAAGCTTGTTTCCGCTTCACTAAGGAATGTAGCCCAAGCCCTTTTTTCCTTCAATTGGCGTAGGAGTTCAACATCCGATGGAGATTGGAGCACAAGGTTTTGCATCCTCATGAAGTCCTCTTTGGCCGCTTTAGCTTTGCTAGAGATGTGCCCAAATTCCCTGTCATTTAATTTCTTGAGAGGCCCTTTTAATATTTTTAGTTTTTTAACTATAGTGTACTGGGCCGAACCTTCAAACCTTTGGTGCCAAACCTGCGCAACTAGGTTAGCAAAGTCATGATGCATTATCCACATGTTGAAGAATTTAAATGGCTTGGGCTTAGGGGAGGAACTATGGAGTATAGAAAAAACGGAGGCCGAATGATCAAACTCCACCTCAATATCATAAAAATGAACCTTACACCCAAAGCCATTTTGTCCCCAAACATCATTTATTAATACTCGGTCAAGCTTAGCCCAAAGAGTACCCCTATTCCACGTGTAGAAAACACCCGTGGATGGAGCATCTTGTAGGTTGGCCGAGACCATAAAATCACCCAAATGTTGCATTATGTAAGCCGAGGGGGGGGTTGGACTCACCCTCTCATTTGGCGAACAAACACAATTAAAATCACCACTAATAACCCAAGGATCTATAATATGAATCCCCAAATCCGTTAAGTGATCCCAAAGAACCTTGCGTTCTAATACAGTATATAATGGATAAACAAAAGTAGCATATAAGGTGATTTGGGTGACCCGACATGTGCATTTGACATGCATATATTGTTTGTCAATTTCCAAAAACGAGCAACTCACAAAATTAGGGTCCCACATAATGCCCATACGCCCACCGTTAATAGTTTCAAAATTAGTTTCATGCGACCACCCCGGCCACCTATTAGAGACATAATTTTTAAAACTAACCGGGTTCATTTTTGTCTCTAAAAAACAACAAAGAGTAATATGATTACTCTTAATAAAATTATTAATAACACTATGCTTAGAGGGTTTTTTCAACCCTCTAATATTCCAGGATGCAATTTTAATTAACATTCAAAAGTAAGGACTACTGAATCATACCCATCACCTCAAGTGAGATAGAAGTCCGATGTATAAGACACATCTTCCGGGTCTATCCCTCCTTTGTCCTTCTTTTCCTTCCTAGCTCTTCTTCGCATCTCCTTAAGATATTTCTTGTTCCTTTCCTGGCTAGCATCAAAGAAGGAAAGAACACGTTGAATAAAGGTAGGTTTATCGAAATCATACCATTCTCCATTCTTTTTAACTTCGGGGCAGCTAAGGAGATAGTCCTCGGTGAACGTTATTCCGGTTTCATCAAAGGGAACCGATTCCAGATTTGCCCCTATTTTAACCGTTGTCACGCCCTTTGGGACTTCTTCCGGTGCCCATGCGTACGCAATTGTCCTGTTCTTTTCGTCCAAGAGGACCATGGTTACAACGTCGTCAATCCCCATCTCATACATATTCGTAACAAGGTACCCTTTCCCCTCGTTGAAAGCTTTGTCACCACGGGATTCCACATAGGCTGCTTTAGGCGGACAGTTGGCAACCTCCATGTTTACTGGTTCAGTGATGGCAGTTTGCTCAAGGGCGGAGATTTCCTTATTATGTAGGAAATTTACATTGTGTTTCGCCTGCACATCAAAAAAACTAGCAACATTAAGAAAAAAGACTTCTCTATTAAATGCATACCAGGATCTAGTTCGCCTCACTCCAGGAAGCCCAACCAAACATGGGTCAGTGAATGATAAAGCTGGGGCATCCAGATTCTGCACCCTTTGATAGTTCTTGCCCAGCCTCGCCACCGGAATAAAGCTCTTTATTTGGTGCCTCTTTTTAACATAAGCAATATGTGCACCATCTTCCTTTGTTATAAATTTGTTGACTATATCATCTGGTTCTAGCTCATGTACACTCGTAATCAGCCTCCCTTCCCATTCAAATATAGGATCAGTCTCGACAGATAGCTCAGGGATGACAGCCAGCGCATCAGATTCGTTGGCAGTAGGCTCGGCCTCAGTGGATGGGTCCATTCCAGTAGCTTGTTGATGTGGTCCAGTAAGTTTAGATGTAGAAGCGCCATCATTTCCCAGTGGTACCCTTCTCACATAGACTCCTTTGCTCTTATTCCGGTTCACAATATCAAATGGGGGATCAGCAACATCAATAGGGGTGGCAGCCCCCTTTCCTTTTTCTTTGGCAGTAGGCTTCCTTGTAGTCTTTTCCTTAGGTGGATTAAGAATCAAGCATGTAAAACAGTGGTGACCATATTTTTTACAATGGAAACAATATTCCGGAAAAGTCTCATAAATCACTTGTTGCATGTATTCTTTACCCGACGGTGGAATAATTGGAAATTGCATCACCGGGGGTTTAGAAACATCAACCTCAATAAGTACACGCGCAAAATGGGGGTAGACCGTATCTTGAGTGACCTTGTCGGTTGTGATAGGTATTCCCACTTGAGATGCTATCATACCTATTTCTTTTGCTTTCCAAAGTCTCATAGACAGTCTAGGGAATTTTATCCAAATTGGCAGTTTTAGGAATTCCTCCCCATTGGTTGAAAAATCATCGGAGAGCTCTTTGAGGTACATAGTCTTCCCGAATAGCACATAGGGTCCTTCGGCTAATACATGTAATCGATCCTCTTCACTCTTGAATTTGAAAATTACCCACCCTTTGCTATGGGATTTCACATGAACCTCCACATTCCACTTGGCCGTCATATCATGAATAGCTTTCAAGCCCGGGAATCTACCAGAAAAATATCCAACCAGGCAGTGACCCCAAATTTCTACCAAAGTAGGTACCTTTAGATGAGAAAAATCGAGTATTTCACCGGTAGGAGGGAAGTACTCCAATTTGAGGCCATTTGTTGGTGCTCGGTTATCATGGAAAAGTGCATTCCACTTCTTAGGTTGACCACCATTTTTTGGAAGTTTTGCAATTGGAAGAATTGTGTCCTGGGATCCCAAGGAAATTGATCTCCCTAATTCATCATCAGTTTCTATGATAGGCTTTGTTGGCTTTAAAGATAACTCCAACTGGTCCGCGGCATTAGAGGAGCCTGTCCCACGTAAAGCTTCTGCATAAGACCCAACAACACCCGACCCCTGGGATGCCTCAGCAGTGATAATATTAGGTGCAGGGGTGGTTGGATTAACCCCAGCAACATTTGGTGTCTTGGCCTTTGAAGAAGAGGCACCATCATTCTCGTTATCTCCAGCAATGAGTGGTGCACCAGCACTAGAATCCGTCATATCCAAAGCATTAACATCAGCAACATCATCCACTTTAGAGGCCTCAGCATTTACAGCCCCAACATTAGCAGGTGTAATATTGTCCATAATCTCAATTGGGGTAGCCCCCAAAGTAGGAGGAGCATCCTCCTTATCATTGGCAGCAGTTTGGGGTGATCTAGGATCCACAGCATTAGCATCCAGTCCTCCCCCCGCAGTTGATACCTCAACATTTGCTTCAAGTCCCAGCCCTTCAGTGGCTTCGGTGGAGTTTGAGGAGATAACAGGGGCATCAATAGGTAAAACCTCATTGAATATACCTTTCTTAATCATCTTCTCAGCCTGAAGTGCGGCCTTAGCAGCTTTCTTTTCGTTCAGGTACTTGATTTTTTCATCGAATAACTTGTCTTTAGCAGGTGGGGTTCTCTGTTGTTTGTTCTTTTTTGTCATATTAAAGAATATGCAGAACAAGAGCTCCCCAGAAAATCTCAGTAAACTAAGAGGTACACCTCTTAGTTTGATAAGCTTACCTGCATTGTTAGTTCGAAAAAAGAAGCAAGTATCTAAAGCAAGACACAGGTACAACGTTCAGCAGTATCTGAAAATAGGTGTATTTTCAGAGAAAATCAAGACCCAACTTTAATTTTTCAAAGTTTTTAGAAAAGTCTCAAAGAATTCTAGGACGTTCCTCAAGTGATAAGAAGCTCTCAGAAATTAACCGCTATCAAAAACAATACCCAGAACAATCCCAGAAAAAGTTTAACTAGTTCTAGAAAACTGTCAAGCAGTGAAGAAGATGAACAGTAAAAACGCAGAACCAGAGTGCTCAAATTAAATGGGGAAACGTATACTTAGCTTCGTTACAGTCCCCTGAGACCAATTAAAGCTTCAGAATTCCAAGTTATCTCCAGATGAAGAACAATACAGAAAATCACCAAATCTGCGTATTGATGAATAGTGCTCGATTTCCAGTGTTCTTACTCATTTGGCTCCAATCAGGTACCAAATTGTTCGTCTAGTTGAGGCTTCACAGATGAGCTTTTAATTTGGTATTAATCAGTAGAAGTTCAAAAAATCTGAGAAAACCCAAAACAATGGTCTTCTCAACGGATCTTTCAGTTCTAGCGCCTTAGGATGAATTGGGATACGGTACAGGTACCGGGAGGTTCGCCAGGAGGTGGCGACCCCCAATCGATTCCTTAAATCCAAAAACAGTCGTCGGAGTTTGATTATTCAGCAGAAATCATAAAGTGGTGAACAGTAGATTCTGCGAGCTCTAAGTTCAATTATTTCTTCGTTTCAGCTGTAACTTCGATTTCCCTCAAATCTAAACCAAAGATAAGATGGAGTAGTGAATTACGAGCTAGCAACAAGAAGAAATTTGTAGCTTAATCTGTTGGATCCACGCGCAACCTAAAAAATTCTCGACCCAGGGGTTCGAGAAAATCCTAGTGAGAGACGAGAGTGTTTTCTCAACGCGTTTTTTTTCCCAACTTTAAAATACGGAGGAAGTATGTATCTAGCTCTTTCTACCTAAACTTAAATCATATTTTGTGGCACCATGACTAAAGTGGCAGGTAATCATCTAACCAATAGTAACTTGTGTCTTTTTAAATAGTTCAGCCTTTTAAATGATAAAACATTAGCAAAATATGTAAAACACCAGCATATGAAACTTAAGAAATAGAAAGAAAAAAAAATTAGCCCAAAGGAAAATTAGAAAATTTATTTAAAAATTAACACCAAATCATCAGTCACATTTATACGTCTCTACTCTCTAGTTCTTCCCACGGTGGATCTTCTCTCCATCTGGTCGAGGAAAAAGCTTAGTTCCTCAACGACAACATGTGGTTTTTTTTAACACTTAACAGTCGACATATTGGCCCAATAAATGTGGCTGGTTAATCTATAATGCAACCTACACCTATTCATCTCTATTCACAGAATCACAGTAGAACATTGGAATAACCTAATATCAATCATTCACTTCAAATAAAACTTTTAACATAGGATTTTGGATAAAAACTGAATGAAATTCAGATTTAGAGCTTTGAAACAAACAAATAGAAAACCATTAGCATATGAATACACGTATCAACAATGGGTTGTATGGAAATCGCACAAAGAGAGACTAAAAAAACTAATAAAGAAAAGTCATCTCATTAAGTAAAAGAGTGTAAGACTAAGTTAGCAAATAATAAATTCACCTGTCATGTGACATTTGGAAGAAAATGTTGCGGAAGGTGCAACTGCTTAGTGGATTTGTTTGGATTCTTTAGTGCATCCATCGCTACTGATTCCTCCACTGTAGTATATAATTAGCACACAAGGTGCCAAAAGTTCATTAGAATACATGGAAAAATATCTAGCATCCAAGAAAATTCATTAACACAACTCGGGTTGAAAAATAACGATCTATTAAACAGTACGAAGTGAAATCAAGTTTTTATCTCTCATGAGTCAAATAATCAAAAATTAGATTTTATATTAATCAAGAAACTAACTGGCATTTGTTAGGCTTTCAAGTTCCAGGAGAATATGTCTGCTAGTTTAACAATTTCTCACATGTCTGCAATTTTCATTCAAAGCGAAAACCTGCCTGATTGCATTATTCGAGTAGACGTTTAAACCCCTCGTAAAGATAGTGATTGAAAGCACTTTAAAGATCCTGAGAAAAATAAAAGATCTACTATTAATTAATAAGACATGCAGCAGCTCATTTATAAGCTCAAAGAACAAATTGAAATTTGAAACATCTACTTTAACTTAATTCTGGTGGGAGCCATGAAAACATAACAATATCATGTATCCTAATCATGAAAGATAAAAAAAAATTCAACTCAATCTCGTGAACCAGGAACCAATGTAATCTGATTTATAATTTCTCACGCGTGACTTCTTGCATTATTTCTCACAGAAATGATCAATGGCACAAATCACATTGCATAGGCTTTTTAGCAGAAACCATGTTAGTGTTTTTAACAACCCTAGCAAATCTAGTTTGACCATAACTGTTTGGTGATGGTGGAAGACAGAAAGTGAAATCTTACGGCTTTGATGAAGAAGACGGGGAAGATCCAAATATAAGATCAAGCTGACAGTATACAGGCCTTGTCTATAGAGATTGTTGTACATGTATGTATATAATCATTAACAAAAACACGAAAGGATGCTTATTAAGAGAAAGAACTCCACATTTAGAGTAAAAGAACTTGTATATGCACTAAACTAAACTGTACAGATCTGTAATTTTACTCCTTGAACTAAACTTTTGGTTAAAATCCATTATTCTCATTGAAGGACTAAATAAAAAATGGAGATTTTTTCACTTCTTGCTATTATAATACTCTAATTGTATCTTGTAAAGACAGCAGTCCTATTAGTACGATGTATATAGCAAAATTGTAATATTAGTGTCCTAAAATCACAACCCAAAAAGATTAATATTTTTTTTTCATTTAACTCACAATGTTCAACATGTTATATAATACAAAAAGTGCATTTTATTAAGAGAAAGAACTTCACTTTTTGACTAAAAGAACATGTATATGCACTAAATTAAACTGTACAGGTCTGTAATTTTACTCCTTGAACTAAACTTTTGGTTATATTCCATTATTCTAATTGAAGGACTAACTTAAAATGGATATTTTTTCACTTCTTGCTATTACTCAAATCATATTTTGGAAAGAAAGCACAGTTTATGCAGAAGAAAAAGGCAAACAAACATTTGATATGATCAGTTTTTCCGACTGAAATTGCAACATGTTTTGTACTAAAAACTGCACTTTTCACTACTTATAATCTTAGATACAAATACAGATTTTATAACTATGATTTTTCAACTAATACCAATTCATATAATTACCTTTGGACGGAAATGAGGGGATTTGAGATAAATAGTGAATTGGTTGAACGTGTTGGTGGCGCCAGCGAATGTGGAGGCATGTTTCATTACGGAAAATATCTACTTCTAGGGCATGAAGACCTCAGAGAAGGTGATTCCTTGAGCCCCTTGCAGCGATGGAAGTAACGAATAATGGAAAACACTTCGCAGTGACGGAAGGGAAAAGTTCGATGGAAAGAAGATGGAAAGAAAGAGAAAGGAAATGAAGATCGATGGTTTACAGCGACGGAGCAGAGAACGGTGGAGAAGATTGCGATGGAAGGGAAAAGTTCGGTTGAAAGAAGATCGGAAGGAATCGTTCAAAAAAAAGATCAGAAGGAAGAGGAAGGAAATGAAATGAATGGTCCAGTTCAATTTTATATGAATGGTCAACATGAATTTGTATTCCTATTAAGTATAGAGGATTTCTGAATATGTAAATTTTATTTACTAAAAATAATTGAGGTATTATATATACCGACTAACAGAAAGTTCATCTGTCTCTACTAAATCCCAAACAGAACCAGTCATGACTCATGATTGTTAACACACCCGCTCAAGTCATAAGATTAAGAGTACGAGTAACCACTGTAAACTGCACAATCTTCGGGGCGTTAGTCTTTTACCAGAGTTCCAATCTTTAGACATTTCAATAAAGTAAAGATGTCAATTTTAACATCATATTAGAAAATCAGAACAAGTTTTTACAGCACTTGGATGTTTTCATAGATCAAAAGGAGAGGAAATTCTAAAACCACGCGTGTTTTGTGAGTGCCATTCCAAAAAACGGGACTTTGCTCCCCCTTAGATGAATTTACGGGATTCGGAACCCCAATTCTGAATTGGAAGATGGATAGTGCCCGGGTGGGGAGGAGGAGGGGGGAGAGGTGTAAGGGGTAAGGCTAATTTAAAATCTCACTTTTCTATCAAGTGATGTAACTTTTTTATTTGTACTCTAATTTTTACAAAAATTATATCAAAATTCATAACTTTTTATGATCTTTCTAATGACACCAATACTCCATATGTAAAGTTTTTTGTTTAAATTGAAATTTCAACAGTATGAGGTTTTCAGATTCAAAATTTTTCTTAGATAGATCTGAATGATAAAATTATAACCTTTTTTAAAATAATTGAAGCATGTGAAAAAGTTATGTAAACAATGAGATCTTAATTTTAGCACTTAAATCTATTTAAGAAAAAAAATTGGGTCTGAAAACTTTCTACTGTTAAAACTTCAAAGAAAAAAATTAAACTTTATATATGAAATATTGGTGTCATTAGAAAGGTAATACGGAGTAAAAAGTTATGAGTTTTGATATATTGTTTGTAATAGAAAACAGACCTAATACTAGTTGGTTGGGTGAATTCAATGCTTTTTGTGAGAAGCATAGAAAAGCGAGTGCTTTTCACATAAGCGACCTGTGAAATAAACGACGAAAAATCTCAGCTCTGTCACTCTTCATCACTTTGTAAAAGCTAAGCTCACTTGCGTCGCTTGCTTGCGCTTTGATGCTTAAGCGAGCTTTTGAACGCCCTTATATTATATGTACTTATGTCTTATCAAACAACATCTAAGCCACCCTTTATCAACTACATTTAGCCAAGCTGCACTAGATAACAAACAGCACTTGATTAAAGTTTTAAAACTTTTGTCAAAAAAGATTTAAAATTTTAAGAAAGAGAAGTACAGGAGGGCAGGAAAATATTCCAAGTTCAACTGATCCAGTTTATGCCCAGATAAATGCTATATGCAATATTCAGCATTCAATTAAATAAAGATTTGGGCCCCAATTATACATTATAATAGCATGAAATAATTGCCATCAGTTCAACATGGTAAAGCCAAATGAACCTGCTAAAGGAGCACATAATTGTAACATGTATTTTCTAGAAGAGATCTCTTACCACTACCAAATGGCTTTTCTAGTTTTCTCAAAACAAAAAGTACCATCATGAGTATTCCCTCTGGTGCTTGAAGAATGTTGGAGTTCGCTGCACTGCCTATAAGAAACCTTGTCAAATAGATATATGTAAGATCAAGATAATCTGAACTTGAACTCCCAGTAAAAGTGAAGCATCTTGAGACTTGAGATAGTCAAAATTGAGATTATGTTAAGGCAATACCTATAGAGGCTTTGGCATTCCCACATTAGATGTTTGCTGTTTGTATCATACGATTATCTGATGGGTTTTCTTTCCCCAAGAAAGAATCAACATCCCCAATTCCTTCAATTAAAAAAAGATATGTGTCGTCGTTGGGCTTAATGCCTTTGCTAACCATTTCTTTGAGAAGTTCCTCCGCGGCCTCACCTTGCTTGGTTTTACACAACCCCTGTATAAGGGCATTGTAGGTCAAGAGGGTTGGGCTAAATCCCAGACTAAGCATCACATCTCTAACTCTAAAAGCATCCTCCATGTCACCTTTTCGACAATACCCACTGATTAGTGTATTATAGCTAATGACGTCTGGTTTGATGCCTCGCTTCTTCATCTCATCCAAAAGTTTACATGCTTCTTCAACTTTACCTTCCCTACAATACCTATGCATTAAAGTGTTGTAGGTGACCTCATCTGGACTAACCGTCATCCTATCCATCTCCTTTAAAATCAAAATTGCACGCTCGATATTTCCATTAGAACAATGGCCGTCAATTAATGTATTAAACATTATAAGGTCTGGGAGAATTCCTCTCTGTATCATTTTTGCAAACAAGTCATCTGCCTCACTCATTCTGTTCCTCTTGCCCAGTACATAAACAAGTGAAGTGTAAGTAATAAGTGTAGGCTCAATACCTGTGGTCAACATTTCATCATGGAGACTTAGAGCCTCTTTTGCCTTCCCTGCCCTGGAATGGCCATTCATCAATGTGTTATACGTAATAACGTCAGGAACCATCCCTTTTTGTCTCATTTCTTTCATTAAATTTTTACCTTCTGTCACCCTCCCTTCCAGAATCAAACCTTGAATCAACATATTATAGGTGGTTACAGTGGGAATTATCCCCCTCTTGACCATATCATCCTTGGTAGAAAATGCCCTTTCTAGATCCCCATTATTACAGTACATACTAATTATAGTATTGTAAGTCACAGCTGTCTGGACAAAGCCATATTCATCCATTTTCTTGATGATATCAGAAGCCTTCTCAAATTTACCCTCTTTTGTCAACCCACTGATAAGAGAGTTGTAAGTGTATGCATCTGGTTTAACCCCTTTATCCCTCATTGCCTCCATAAGTTCACTTGCTCCTTTGAGATCACCCCTAAAACAATGCCCATGTATTAAAGTATTATACGTAATGATGTCTGGCTTGAACCCTAATCCATCCATCTGTTCAGCAAACTGTCTGGCCTTCATCAATTTCCCTTCTTTACACAGTACATTGATCATTATATTAAATGTGTAGCGATTTGGACTAATCCCCAACCTATACATCTGGCCGAACACGTCCCAAGCTGATTCCATCCTATTACACTTGAGCAATGAACTCAATAACGCATTACAAGTCACAACATTTGGCAAAATTCCCTTCTCTGTGATCAAGTAAAAGCACTTCAACGCCTCGTCACACCTCTTCAACTCACAAAGTGCCTGTACAAGAAAATCCAATGATATTGTACTCTTCAACTGCAGTTTCTCTCGAGCACTCATCAGCCCATGAAAAATCTCTCCTTGAGTCGCAATACGAGAACTGACTGCTTGCTTGAGGAGCTGCAGTGCATGACGAGGGGATGGAAGGCGAGAAAGTATTGAGATGGCGAGGCAATAACAGTTGATGTCGAGACAATCGGAGGTGAGCTTTTGCGTGAACTGGAAAATGTGGTCCGGGGATGAGCGGAGATCGAAAAGGGTAGACGAGACCAAGGAGGGCGTGATATGGGGCAAAACCTGTTCGATGAATTGCCATTGAGAAGAAACCACATATTCCAGGAGAGCCTTGCTAGTGATTGAAAGATGGGAGCTTGTGGGGTGTACAATTTTTGTGAGTTTAGTATTATTGCGTGATGCTGATGATAAGTGCTTGATAATAATCCACGAAAGCTTATTATGCCGATAAAGCTTACTTGCTGGAATGAATTGGGGGATGCCCATGCTTGATGTCTAGTTGCAATTGGGGCTCCTGATATTCCCCAGCCAGGATTCCTGGAATTTTTAAATAGTGCTGCCCAAAAGAGGTCCACAACAAAAAGATAAAGAGAGTAGTGTCATTTCTCCGTTCATACTTCATAAGTTCATATGCATTCGCTTGGCTAATAACACCAGCTTTATATCTCAAGATATGTCCTAATCTACTCTGGGTTTACTGTGTTAAACTCCTCATGATATATAAGTTTTGCACATTAACCTGGGATTAAAAAAGCATCAAACTTTGTATTATGCTTAAATATACTTCATATATCTTATACTCTGGAAGAATAAATTTAATTGTCGTGTTGTCGGATAAAAAAAAAGCAATTGTTTACTATTATGCATAATTTAGGTATCTTAAAAAAAGGATGCCTTTTTAAAATCGAGAAGCTAATGTACGGAATTTGTAATATGAGTTGAGTGCATTGCACTAAACCTATTAGGCTATTATAGCAAACAACTGTTTTAATGCTGGGAAAAAGCGGTAATCTAATTTAAACTTAACATTAACTGTTTTAATCACACCCAGGAAGGCATTCATTCAAGTTTGCCCTTTCGCCTTGATGTTTAGGTAGGGAGGGGCTTATGGAGGGGGTGTCATAAGTACGCAAGAATCCATAATTTGTAACATTTAAATTTAAAAAAAAAAACACAATTCAGCCATTCTTAAATACCAAACAAGTTAAAGACCAGTAAGCAACTAAAACTCTACAAAAGCTGTAAATTAAACAACTGAAACGATGAACAAGTAAACAAGTTCAAGCAATGAGACAATATGAATAACAAAATGAAAAAGTAACTTACAGGCTTAGTGGACAGTAGACTAAGCGACGCCGACTGAATAACCAGTGGGCTCGTGCTCGTGCTCGCCAAGTCCCCAACCGCTAACCGCCTAACCCTACTGAATATTCGTTAATTTGTTTGTACCGACTGATTTGCTGCCGTGCTTGACGACGTCGGTTTAGACCGTTATCTCATCGAGGGCCGTCCGATAAAAAAGTAAAAACGCGGAAAATGCAGTAAAATAATAACCGGGTAATAAAAAAAACTCAAATTTGATATTAGCAAATTTATCGAGGATGCCCCTATTTCCAAATTAATTAACTACGAAAAAGGGGAAGAAATATTTCCCAAATTTATTACAGAGCAAGTATGTTTTTACTTGTACTGAAATTTGTTTTGTCTGATATGATCCGATCTATTTAAGTCAGGTCTGGTCTGATCGGTCTAAATTGGTTTGGTCTGGTCGGGTTTGATCTGATATGTTTGAGTCTGATATGGTCTAGTTTGGGATTGAAAGCAGTCCAAGTAAAAACATACTGAGTATATGTGGTGGATAAGAGGAAAGTGATTAGTAGTAAAAGTTGGTAGTGTTAGGTAAAATAAGTGCTTTTGTGTAATAGAAAAAGTAAAAAGTAGATTCTACACGGAAACCGAGAAAGTAAAAGTTGATAGCGTTTGGTAAAATAAGCGCTTTTATCTTAAAAAAAAATTAAAAACACTTTTTTAAATGGATTGCAAACAGTGAAACAGACCCTTGTTTGGTAAATAGCGGTGAGTAATTAGCAAATTGTGTTATCTACTTGACTAGCAGATTGATTTGATGTTATGACTGGTTGATTAGATTAGCTGGTAGCTTAAAAAATGTTTAACTAATTAGGTTTGGATATAGCTCTTTCTAGATGAAATTGCGTACACGTGATTTTATTATTATTGTCATTTTATATTACGAGTATATGATTTAGTTCATAATACGTAGTATAACACCTTGAGGTGCAGGATCAATAATAATAAAAATGAAATTCACCCTCTATTATGTGGTGAAGTTTCTTTTTCGTTGACCTAGGCCAAATGGACTTCGCATTTGTAATTCAAAACTACTGAACTCAAATGTTGCTCCACCCAGCATGTTGAAATTTGGCATTTTGCAACACAAACGTTGCCCCAGTCAACTATTTAACAAACGGTCCTGTTCAGCGATTTGATCAAAGCCAAAACGCCGTCATTTGAAATGTCAAATATGACTAATAATCTGTTGTTATCCAAAGAGAGCAATATCTTCTCATGTTTCATTTCAACTATATATGCTCGATTGGATCGACAAAGGTGATTATGTTTTCTCATATTTCATTTTAGTTCACTAGAATTCTAAAATTGCTCCCGTTGGTTTCTATGCACTAAAAATTGAAAAATTAAGTCTCTTTTAAGTGTACATGGAATCAGGGGCGGACCGTAGTACAGACCCAGGGGTTTAACGTCCCTCCAACAAAATTTATTTTTAGTGTATATATATAAGAAAAATAATTTTCGCCCCCTCAAAAAATAATTTTCGCCCTCAAAAAATATTTTGAACCTCCCCAACATGAATTTCTTGGGTCCGCCCCTGCATGGAATAGTTAATTCTTTAACACTACTCCACATTATTTGCTTTTCAACAATGTTTGGCGTTAACGTACGTAGTACATGTGCATTTATTTGTATTCAAAAAAGGCATATTTGCAAACTGCTCAAGGTTCAAATGAACCTGTATAAATGCCATTTTTATTTAATTTTTTTTGGAAGAAAGTCACATTGGCGCCGTGTGTACTATGTAACAATATTATTGTGATGCAAATTTCTTGCTTATTTTTCTTAAATAGATTAAGGGTATGTTTGGTCAAACTAGCTGAAAAGATATCTTTGTGAGCTTTTTAACAACTGTTTGCTTAAATAGAATAAGGGTATTTTTGCTTTAGTGACTGAAAAGATCTTAAAAAGAAAAAGGCGGTAGTTGTTTAGTAAAAAGCTGACTCTTTGATTAGTTCGGTTTGGTATACAAACTGTTAGGGCTAATTAATACTAAAAGTCACGGGCTTTTTTCAAATGCTACTCCCTGTAGCATCTCAAAAAAGATCTTTTAATATTTGAAAAGTTCTTAAAAGTTGTCATGCCAAACATATAACTTGAAGCTTTTAGAGACTTTTTGAGTAATACAAAAGTTAGAAATCAGATACTTATTACCGCCGAACATAGCCTAACAGTTACCTAATCACCTTTGCTCATGTTTAAATGTGTTTTTGCTCTTATGTGTTTGTGCACTTGTACACCAAATGCTTGAGTATTACACTTGTTTTTGCGTATTGCTCTTGTTTATGGACAGAAACGTCAGAAAGGCAACCAGTTTTTCATCTGCAAGACTGCAAGTAATTCAGCACAATCATCTACCTACTGTAATTGTAGCGATCTCGTGATTTAATATCAACCTAAGACAACCTATCCAAAATTTAACTGGGCTTGGTGGGGTGAGCCAGGCCTAAGCAGTAGTGCAATACTCAGGCGACTCTCGAAAGCCCAGACAGCAAGCTGCCTTAGTGGACTTTCCCCCTTAAAAAATTGAGTTAATATCGTGTGGGCTAATAGCCCACATATCAGATATTAAACTGATAAGAACAGATACTACACTTGATCTTAGCCAAAAGGCCGAGAAAGGTATGAAAACCAAAGCTTTCAGCCCGCTTTATTTATAACATCAAAGAACCGTCTCTACCTCATAAGGAAACGGTGTGGGAAAACAAAAAGATCAATAGCTTCTGTATAAGCCGCATCTTGATGCCTGCTTCTCATACGCTCACGGCTCACTCCCATTTTTAACTACTTCGCCTCTACTTTTACAAGATAGATTGATAGATCGTGATTCAAACTTCGGAGATGGCATCTATGAGACTAGGAGACCATATTTTTGGGATAATACCAATACATATGACTAAAACTAGTTGGTTGGACATATTATTATTTATGACCTTTTCCACGATATAAACTAATGTACATAAAACTTGCAAAAAGAAATATGTACATAAAAGTGACCCTATTAAAGATGAAATAGTTCACTCATGATTTCTAGAACTACTCCCATCGCTTGTTTGGAAGTGAAATATTATTAAACTGGGTCAAGAAAGGAGATCAAATATTTTGTATTATTCTGTGTATTAAAATACAAGGATCGGTCATATATATACAGATGCTTCGCATGGCTATACTACGTACGTAACTTCCTCCTCTAAGAGATATTCTAGGAGATAAACAAGGAAGGAAATAAATGGTGTAGTATCTATCCTATTCTAGTACGTACGAGTAGTACTAAACAATTGTTACAAGAAAAAATAAAATGTTACACAAAAATATACACAACACCCCCCCCCCCCCCCTCCTTTAAGATGGAGCATGGGGGTCACAAATGCCCATCTTGCCAAGTAAGTAGGAAAATAGTTGTGCACCCAAAGCTTTTGTAAATAAGTCTGCGGGTTGCTCAGTAGTTGGCGTGTAAGATGGTGCAATCGTCCCTGCCTGAATGTGATCCCGGATTAAGTGGCAGTCAAGTTCAATATGCTTTGTTCGTTCATGATAGACCGGATTGGAAGCGATGTGTAAAGCAGCCTCATTATCACAGAAGAGTCGAACGGGTGTAGTGGATTTAATGCCCAGCGAACGAAGTAAATTGCGAAGCCAAATGAGTTCACATGTCAACGAAGCCATAGACCGGTACTCTGCCTCAGCAGATGATCTAGACATCGTGGCTTGCTTTTTGGTACGCCAAGGCACAGGAGAATGTCCCAGAGATACAAAGTACCCGGTGACAGAACGACGTGTAATGGGGCAACTAGCCCAATCCGCGTCACAATAACCGGTGAGGAGAAGAGAAGAGTCAGTCCGCAATAAAATACCTTGACCATGCCATCCTTTGAGATATCGTAGGACCCGAAGTACAGCATCCCAGTGCCCCACTCTAGGATTTTGCATAAACTGGGAAAGAATGTGAACCGGGTAACATATATCGGGTCTGGTTAAAGTCAAGTAAATGAGCTTCCCAGCTAAGCGATGATACCGTTCTGGATCAGAAAAATGCGGGCTTGAATCGGATTGCAATTTATGATTTTACACCATCGGAAAAGTGACTGGCTTACAACCAGATAAGCATGTCTCACTGAGAATGTCAAGCACATATTTGCGTTGACATAGAAAAATATCTTTGGGACTCCGTGCAACTTCGATCCCCAAAAAATACTTCAAGACTCCCAAGTCTTTGATAGGAAATGTGGCGGCAAGGTAACGTTTAAATTCTTGGATCATGGAATGATCATTCCCGGTCACCAATAGGTCATCGACATATATAAGCACACGCAAAATACGGCTACCCTTATGTAGGGTGAACAAAGAGTAGTCCGCACGGGTCTGAGTAAATCCATATGCCCGTAACGAGGCAGTAAGCTTATGAAACCAGCATCGAGGGGCCTGACGCAGACCGTACAAAGATATAATCAAACGGCACACCTTCCCGGATGAGGAAGCAGTGTGTTGAAATATAAACTACAAAATATAATATTGAAGAGAGGAGGAAAGATTTTCTGTATTTTTCATTGAAGGGTAAGGCCCTATAAATATAGATTACAAAAATAGAATATTCCTATAAAAGATTCTATACAATAATACTATATATGGTATATTCCTAATATATTCTAAAGCATATTCTAAAGTATATTCTAATATACTTTCACACTCCCCCTCAAGTTGGAGCATAGATATTTATCATGCCCAACTTGTTACATAAATAACCAACTCGAATTCCATTTAGTGCTTTAGTGAACAAATCTCCAAGTTGTTCCCCAGTCTTCACATATCCTGTAGAGATCAATCCTTTTTGTATCTTCTCTCGAATAAAATGACAATCGACCTCAATATGCTTTGTTCTCTCATGAAATACAGGATTGTTTGCTATGTGTATAGCAGCTTGGTTATCACACCACAATTTAGCTGGAATTGATGTCTTCAGTCCGAGCTCGGTCAATAAATGGCTTATCCATATGATCTCACATCCATATGTCTTCAGTCCGAGCTCGATATTCTGATTCGGCACTCGAACGAGAAACCACATTCTGCTTCTTACTCTTCCAAGATACAAGATTACCACCAATAAAGACACAATAACCAGATGTAGATCTTCGATCATCTTTAGAACCGGCCCAATCAGCATCTGCAAAACATTCTATTCTCATGTGATCATGGTTTTGATAAACAATACCTCGTCCTGGTGCACCCTTTAAGTAACATAATATGTGTTCTACTGCAGCCCAATGATCAATGGTTGGAGATGACATGTATTGACTCACTACACTCACAGAATAGGCAATATCTGGACGAGTGACTGCGAGATAATTAAGCTTTCCAACCAGTCTTCTATATCTTTTGGGTCTTCAAACAGTGTGCCTTCTTGAGTGAATTGCACGTTGGGAACCATGGGTGTTGTACTTGGTTTTGCCCCTAATTTCCCTGTCTCAGCTAGTAAGTCAAGTACATATTTACGTTGAGATAGAAATATGCCTTTCTTACTTCGTGTTACCTCAATTCCCAAAAAGTATTTCAAAGAGCCAAGATCTTTCGTCTGGAATTGACTATGCAGAAAATTCTTAAGGGCCAAAATACCTGCATTATCACTCCCTGTAATCACAATATCATCAACATACACCACAAGCAATGTGACACCTGATTCTGTTTGTTTGTAAAAGACAGAGTGATCTGATTTGCCTTTTGTCATTCCAAATTGTTCAACTGATTGACTGAATTTTCCAAACCATGCACGAGGACTCTGTTTCAGACCATAAAGAGATTTGCGAAGTCGACAAACTTTACCATACTCCCCCTGAGCAACAAATCCCGGAGTGTCACGCCCCGGACCTAACCGGACACGTCAACAATCCGCCGTACAGTACGAATAGTCAACCGCAGTTCAACACATCCATACTATACAAGGCGTCTGGAATATCATTCACACATAGTACATCCATAAACAATCATAATGTAAAATATTTAATTAAGCAGCGGAAACATAATTACAAATATTCAAGCCACACGTGGCAACCACGGGGCATACAAGCCCCCAAATAAATATTCGAAATAATATCCATGAGCATTATTTAAATTGTTTTCAAAACAGAAACAGGAGAAGCACGAATCCCGCAAACCACCAGGCGAGCCTTGTATCGTTCCACCGAGCCATCACTCTTGTACTTGATCTTGTACACCCATTTGCAATAAATAGCCTTCTTGCCGGGTGGCAAGTCTTGTACTCTCCACGTTCCAGTACTTTCCAAAGCTTCTCTTTCTCGGCTCATAGCCTTTCTCCAAAGCTAGTGGGCTCCTTTGTGGCTGAAATAGCTGCAAGAAAGGCTCGGTGCGGAACTGAATATTGATTATATTTTATATAATGAGATATGGAACAAGGAGTACCTGAGTCAGCCGGAAGAACGGGAGTCTCGACGGGGGGAGAGTTTATTGTGACTGTATTCATTTGGACATCATAATCTCAATGCCAAGTTGGAGTTCGTCTGTCACGTGTCCCTCGTTGTGTCTGGTTGTTGGCAACATCGTCCGAACTACTACCATGAGCAGTACTCGTTGTTTGATTCGCTGCAGTGTCATGTAAAGAGTTTTGATCAACCTCCTGCATTTGTGACGTGGCATGTGTCTCCGGAACTTCGGCACTGGTACCGTCTTCGCACTCTTCGCCTCTTCTGCATGGCGTGTGCATGTCTTCGCTGGCTTCATGATCACTTATGGGAATGTTCAATACATGCATACCATCTCCTTGGTGTTCATCTGAAACATTGTCTTCCCTTTTGAAAGGAAAAACGTGCTCCACAAATTTAACGTCTCGTGAGACAAAATGACGTCGCTTTTCGAGATCATACACTTTCCAACCTTTCGGCGAATAAGCATATCCCAAAAATATACACCTCGTGTCACGTGGTGCAAATCTGTCACCCGCATGATTTGGTACATGTTAGGCCCGGGACTTAGAACCGTAAAACCGGGAAAACCGAGCCGAACCAAACCAAAATTACCGGTTCGGTTCCTAAATTTTTGACTTACCTAATTTTCAGTTCGGTTCCTAATATATTCAAAACGGTTCGGTTCCGGTTCTAACCAATATTAACTTCTAGGAACCAAATATCCTATATACTACTAGTAACATATACAACCTAGTTTTCATCAAAGCTCATACGGAGTTGGACATGTGGGTATTAAGCTGGACCGGCCCACTAGAAAATAAGGATTTGAAAATTACTTTTACCCTTAACCACTAACCTAATAGAAACTCTTCTAACTCTCATTCCAAAGAATCGAACGACTAATCTAGTAATCTGCGGCCATTGCTATTGTGAATTAGGCTTCTTGATTCTTCATCTCAGCTTTTCCACAAGATTGAACGATAAGTACTCTAGCCTTCTAAGTTCTAAGCTTTGACATTGAACCTCTAAATCGTGCTCCATCTCTTCATCTTCAAAAATTCAGTTCTCACTTATTCCTATTATGGGTTGTTATTGTAATTATCTCCTATGCGAGATGATAACAGGGTCTAATATTTGCAATATAGTGTCTTAGAAACTAGTTGGAGTTATTTTGTCAATTTGAACTTTAGCTACTAGCTAGGGTTCACTTCAATTTCTTCTTTTGGTATAATTGATTATTACATTTGTTCGTCAGAAATAGATTTAATGTAGTGCGTGATTACTCCTATCTGTTTAGAAGTTTTTGAAATGGACATTCTCTGTAAAGGATAACTTTGTTGGAATATCATATTTGTCCACCATTATAATTATTACTCCGTATTTGTTTGCATTATATAAGTATTTTTTATTTTAGCTCATCTTAAAATGAATGTTGATTGTGGTAACTTTAGTAATATTACATGTTCTTTCATTATACTCTTGGCAGGAGAGCAATTAAGTCCATCTACTAAATCAAATGATTTTTTTTAATGATTTACACTATGTATTTAAACTTCTTTAGGGGGGAAAGGCACATAACAATAGCAATATCCTAAGTAGTTATTATTTATTAACACACACCGAACACTACAGTCTTCCTTTCTTGCTTGGTGTCCAATTGGATGTTCATACGATATAATGGCTATGTTTGACAAAATTTGTATTTATAATGATTTGAACTTTGAATGTTGTTTTATGTAACATAAATTAAATTGTGTTCATTTTAGAAATAGTACATGATTTTAAGGAACCGAAAAAAGTCAGAACCGAACCGTTTAAACCTTGTTCGGTTTTAAAACGGTTCCGATTATTTTTGTATAGAACCGAACCGATTTTAAAAATTCCTTTTTTTAAAACGGTTCCAATAAATTTTAACTAGAACCGAACCGGTCTCAGGCCTAGTACATGTGCATAGCACAAACACCCAAAGACCCTAAGTTGACTATATACATGAGGTTTATTATATAGCAACTCATAGGGACTTTTATTCCCGATTACAGGTGAAGGTAACCGATTAATCAAGTAACCTGCCGTCAACACACATTCACCCAAAATTCTAGAGGTACATGTCCATGAAAACGAAGGGTTCTAGCCATTTCCAAAATATGTCTATGTTTTCGTTCAACCCTACCGTTCTGTTGAGGAGTATACACGCATGATGTTTGAAAAATTATCCCCTGTTCCATAAAATATTCCTTAAGACTAACAAATTCTTTGCCATTGTCACTTCGTATTACCTTCACAATTTTATTAAACTGACGACTAGTCATGGCAATAAATTGTTTGAGGATATTCCTTACTTCGCTTTTATCACGCATTAGATGCACCCATACAGCTCTAGAATAATCATCTACCACAGTAAAAAAATAACGCGCACCACAAGTAGATAAAGTACGATACGGTTCCCAAATGTCACAATGAATCAACTCAAAAGGTTCAATAGCACGAGCATCACTAACACCAAAACTATCTCGTGTCTGCTTGCCACACATACAAGCATCACACACTTTATTGTGCACACAATTTAACAAACTTTTATTCAAATAACTAAGAGAACGTAAAACTTTCATGGACGGGTGTCCCAACCTCGAGTGCCATAAATCTCCCAGGTCTGTACTCTCCACAGTGTTAGCTTGAGCTTGATCCAGACCCCGAAAATAATAAACTCCCCCGCGTCGTTCACCCACTCCAATCGGCATCCTCGTAGGCAGGTCCTGTATTACACACAAATCATTAGTAAAAAATATATCACATTTTCGGTCATCAATCTTCCTAGCGAAATTAAATTGCACTTCAATCCCGGCACAAATAAAACATTAAATAACTTTAATTGTGTACTGAGCATCGTGCTTCCCACATGAGTCGCTTGGGTCACATCTCCGTTTGGCAACGTGACTGCCACCGAAGTGATTTTGGTCTTCTCCTTTAAAATATGACCATTTCCGGTCATATGATATGACGCCCCGGAGTCAAGGAGCAAGTCGTAACGCATTTTCATACCTATGAGTTTTTCTTCGGACGAGTTACCCTTGCAATTTTCCATCCACTTCATGAGTGTTTGCCACTGTTCGTCGGTGAACCCCGGTTTGTGCAACGATCCTCCTTTTACTTCGTGTTTGTCTGCCCCATCATCCCGGCACTCGCCCACATGCATGGCTTGCACGTTGCCTCGTCCGACACCACGCCCGCTTCGACCACAGCTTCCTCGACCGGTGCCCCCTCGTCCTTTTGCTCCTCGGCCTCGCCCAGGATTATCCTGCCACCATTCTGGATAAATTCCAGTTCTTCGAAAACAGTTCTCAATGTCGTGTCCCGGTTTATGGCAGTAGCTACACTTGCTCCGTTCATCCTTTCCCCCGGCAGTAGGAAAGGAAGTGAGTGTGGTCCGAGTGGCGAAGGCCACTGCCTCAGGCTTTTCGTTGCGTCCCTTTGTTATATTCTGATGGCGTTCTTCCTGCACCACCATATGGTATACCTTGGTGAGAGAAGGCAATTCATCCGCCCCAAGTATGTTGGAGCGTAGTGTTTTAAAGGTCTCGTGATCCAGTCCCATCAAGAAGTTGTGGGTCTTCTCCGATTCCACATGCTTAAGGAATAATTTCTTGAGGTCACATGTGCAACCGTTGCATTTGCACTGAGGAAAATTCCGTACTCCATCGTATTCCTCCCAGAGAGTTTTCAACTGACCGAAATAGTCGGTAACCGATTGTCCGTGTTGCTTACAATTTCGCAAAAGTTCCTTCAATTCATGAACCCTCATAGCGTCTCCAACCGAAAAACGAGCCTCCAAATCAGTCCAGAGGTCACGCACGCTTTCCATGTAAGCAAGGTTGGATCTTAACGTCGGGTCAACTGAGGTCATTATCCATCCCACCGCCATGGAATTGACCGTCAGCCAATCCTCAAGGTCTCTTGGAATGTTCGTGGGTCGTTCAAATGTTCCGTCAAGGAACCCCATCTTCCGTTTGGCACGGAATGCATTTTTCATGGCCGTAGCCCATTCCCAATAGTTGCTCTCCCCCTTGAGCGCAACCGCACAAATCATCATTTCGGGATGATCCGAGCTTGATAAATAATACAGCGACGAAGGATCGTTTATCTTCCATCGTTCCGGCTGTTCACGATGGCCGTCACCGCCGGTGTGAGTTGATTCTCCGGCCATGTCTTACGTTGCGCAAGCGTGATTCGTCGGTCCAGAATCAACTCTCTGATACCATATTAAAGTGGGTCAAGAAAGGAGATCAAATATTTTGTATTATTCTGTGTATTAGAATACAAAGATCGGTCATATATATACAGATGCTTCGCATGGCTATACTACGTACGTAACTTCCTCCTCTAAGAGATATTCTAGGAGATAAACAAGGAAGGAAATAAATGGTGTAGTATCTATCCTATTCTAGTACGTACGAGTAGTACTAAACAATTGTTACAAGAAAAAATAAAATGTTACACAAAAATATACACAACAAATATATTACACTAGTATCTTTACCTGTGTCGTGCACGGGATAAAATGATTTTTTTTCTTTCAAAAAAAAAGGAAAATCACTTATTTATAGCTCGTTTGGTAACATTGTTTTTCGGTTTATCCGGCTTATCACCTTCCTTTTTCACCGATCGAACACGTAACTTTTGATTTCGCATGCCGAATTGTGTCATTACGGAGTAATAAAAAAAGTAAGGTTGGAGTTACTTTTCTGGTTGTATTGGCTGAAGTTACTGTAGAAAACCATTTTAACTGTTTTTTAATATACTTTTTTCTTTATTTTATTAATAAAATATATTTTAAATATAATTTTCCAGATTTACATTTTGCTTCATATATCGTCTCCAAATTTTGGCTCGGTGAAGATGCAGTTTTAATCATTTTGGTATGTGTTGGGGTTGCACTAAAACATAGGCTTCTTCAAAGCTTAGGACTTTTTATTTGATTTTTCCTAAATTGGACTAATCATTCTATTTTTAACCCTAATATAATTAATTAATTAATTAACCTTATTCTTTTTTCCTAGTTTCCGAAGGGTTGAGTACTTTAATTAGAAAGGCGGAGCAGAGGGGAGACATCCACGGAGTGGCGGTCTGTAGGGGAGCTCCACGGGTGTCCCATTTATTTTTTGTTGATGATATCTTTTTGTTTAAAGTTTTGGGTCGTGAATGTAATGCTATTAAGGAGATTTTGCATGAGTATGAGGAAACCTTTGGGCAGGCGATTAATTTTTCCAAGTCCACCGTAACATTAATTTTTGGAGTGTCGCATGAGGGGGGATAGCAGAAATATCTGGGATTACCGAGCCTAGTAGGGAGAGGAAAATCAGCCATTCTTGGCTTCATTTGAGATAGAATATTTACTCGTATTGAAAGCTAGAATACTAGGTTTTTTTCCCAGTCAGGTAGGACTGTGTTGTTATGGAATGTGGTGCAAGATATCCCACTTACACCATGAATGTCTTTCTATTACCCCGAGATTTATGTGATGAGATCGAAAAGCTTATGAATGGGTTCTGGTGGAAATGAACAAAATTTGAACAAAGAGGTATCAGGTGGCGAAGGTGGGAGCTCATGTGCAAACCGAAAGGAATGGGGGGTTTGAGATTCAGGAAGCTGAAGGAATTTAATCTTGTTATGCTGGCTAAGCAAAGGTGGAGGCTTCTTTTAAACCCGTAGAGCTTGATGGGGCGAATTCTAAAAGTAGGGTATTTCCCTAACTCTGAGTTTTTAAAGGCTAAATTGGGCAATAACTCGTCCTATATTTGGAGAAGCATTTTTGAAACTCAGAGTGTGCTAAAGGAGAATATTTGAAGGAGGGTTGGGAATGGGAGAGAGGTTCAAGTTTGGGTTGATGGATGGTTATCAGGCCCCGGAGCTGGGAAGGTTCAATCAACTAAACCACCCGATATAGCTGACATGAATGTGGCGGCTTTGAGAGACAGCACCGGGAAGAAGTGGAATACAAAAAGAATTGCGGTTATTTTTAATAATGAAGAAAGGAAAATTATTTCGAGCATTCCTATCAGTTCGCGGGATAAACATGACGGCTTCTGGTCGAGTAAAGAAAACAATGGGATGTTCTCAGCCAAGATGAGCTGTTATAGAACTCTTATGCATGGAGTGGAAGCAAGGGGTGGAACGGCTAGAAAGTTTTTTTGGGAATTAAAAAATCCCACCAAAAATAAATATTTTCTTTGGCAGGTATTAGATGGGTCTCTTCCTTCAGTGGCGAATTTAGAATGAAAGGGAGTGCCGATCTAGAATGTTTGCAAAATTTGCTTGCAGGATGAAGAAACTTCGGAGCACGCTTGGAGGCTGGATTCAAGTGTCTCCTGGTAATGGAGATGTCTCCTTGGAGATGGCTTCAAAATTTACTTTCTGTACCGGACAAGGAAATGTGTTGTAAGGTTGCTATGTTGGTTTGGGGTTTGTGGAAGCGTCGTAACGCTCTAGTTTGGGAGGACGACTAGCAGAGCTCGGCCAGTGTTATTAGCTGCTGCTCGAGCATGTTGTTAGCATGGAGGGAGGCACAACAGACTTCGGCAAAGTCACAGAGCAAGGTGGGGAGTGTTGTTCATAGATGGAAGCGGCCGAGAGCACGAGTAATAAAGATAAATGTTGATGCATCAGTTGATAATACGAGAGGATTAAGAGCTTGGGACTGGATTGCAAGAGATGATCAAGGTGAGTTTGTGAAAGCAGGGGAGCCTCATGTAAAGCGGAATGGTCCCCGACGGAATTGGAAGTGATGGGTCTTCGAGAGACTATCTTGGCAGCACTTTGAGAGGGGTGGGATAATGTTGAAATTGAAACTGATGCACAGGTGATAGCTCGAGGAGTCCAAAAAAGTGAAGGCTTGACATATATTGACCCGATTCTTTGTGATATCTGTTATTTAGTCCAAACAGAGATGTTGGGGTATTGGGCCGAAGCCCAATATACCTGGCCCAAATCAGAGAGAAGCCCAAGGGGAAGAGCAAGCCCATCGCGTCTAAAGAATTCAAGGAAGCTCTTTCAAGACAGTACCCGATCGGCATTCGGGTTAATAATCCAACTTAGGCAATCAACAAAGTGTCAAGCGCTTATACATCCGCTTATGGGGCCCGAACCCCGAACGAGCTACCCGAATGGGCCACGCCCAAGTGGCATCCGTTTAATGCATGTCAATTCTCGTATTTGAAACTCTGTAATTGTAGACTTCTTCATAACTTTTGAATTGAGGAATTATGATACTTTTAATTGGTTTGAAATTTCAAATTTGATTGAATTTGGTCTTATTCGGTCTGCTTACGTTCTGGTTTGGCATGATCTCAAACTTAAATTAATTGATTATAAATAACAATTATTTTGGGGTACTCAAAGTTGCAATATTATCCCAACTTATTACCAAGTGAAAGTGTGAAACTGAATACTCCCTCCATATCACATATATCTTACCACATCAAAAGTGGGTGAGATTAAGAATAGTGAAATAAGATATAAATTATTGAGGGTATGATGAGAAGATAGTGAAATAATGAGATGGATTGAAAAATAAATCCAAAAAAGCAGGTGTAATAGTGTCAATAACAAATATACTGATTTATCGACCACAAATATACTCGTGATTTCAAACTTGTTTTTGTAGTAATTTCAAATTTAATTTTGTGAAACATCCATCACTACGTACATAACTTACAGAATTTGAGTTCATTATTCCATAATCCACTCGAGCGGGTCATTTACTTAATTGTTCCTAGAATGATAATAACGGCCCTATACAACCTATGCAAAAACTTAACTGGGCTTGGAGGGGTGAGCCAGGCCTAAGCAGTAGTGCAACACTCAGGCGACTCTCGAAAGCCCAGACAGCAAGCTGCCTACGTAGACTTTCCCCCTTAAAAAATTGAGTTAATATCGTGTGGGCTAATAGCCCACATATCAGATATTAAACTGATAAGAACAGATACTACACTTGATCTTAGCCAAAAGGCCGAGAAAGGTATGAGATCCAATGCTTTCAGCCCGCTTTATTTATAACATCAAAGAACCGTTTCTATCTCATAAGGAAACGGTGTGGGAAAAAGAAAAGATCAATAGCTGTTATGTACTCCGTAATACGGGGTAAGTCTCATTTTGATGTGTGTTTCTAATACTTCTTTTACATAATAGAATGTGAGAGTCACATTCTTGTCCAGCCGGCCTGACGGGAATCTCCGTCCGGCCGTGGGCATTTTGGGCACTTCCCGATTGAATTTTTTGATGAAATTTTTTTAGCATGTTCTTCATCAAGTCTAATTTATCCATACCAAATTTCAGATCAAAATTCGATTGGGAAGTCATTCAAACAATTTGTTGAAGTTGACTGCGTCAAAATATACATATAAAAATGCAGTCAACTTCAAAAAATGATTTGAATGCCTTCCCGGTCGAATTTTGAGCTGAAATTTGGTATGGATAAACTAGACTTGATGAAGAACATGTTCAAAAAATTTCATCAAAATATTCGATCGGGAAGTGCCCGAAATGTTCTCGGCCGGACGGCGGTTCCCGTCAGGCCGGCTGGACATGAAGTCTAGATTGTGATTCAAACTTATGAAACCAAAACAGAAAGAGTGCAGACACGTAAAAAGATGAAAGAGTGACCTTTATGACATTTTCAGAATTTCCAGAATTGCTCCAATCCCTTATTTGGATATTTTGAGTTTTATGTAGATTTAATTAACTGAAATTTAGCAATTATATTTATGTTTTGTAATTAAAATTCTGCCTGAGGGGCAGATGTAGGGTACAATTTAGATATTCTGGATTTTATTCCAAAAGCTTTTTTACTTCTTATTAGTTCTTAGAATTGATGCATTGTCTGTACACATGTCATCTTCTTAGGTTATATTTTCTATTAAGAATTACACACTAATTGTTTGGTTTGATTTTTCATTTTTATAACCACTATAGTACTATACTAGTATACTCACGTTTATGTACTCAAATAAACTAAAGTATTAAGTTTTATAAAAAAACAAGTATAAATTCTAGGGAGAATTTGACTTTGCACCCCATGTTTTGGGTGATATTTGACTTTGCACCCTATTTTCAAAATCATTAATGTATACACCCCAATTCACTATAAAATCATTTGACTTTGCACCCTACTCCTTCACAATTTTTGGGCTAATGGGGTGCATACATTAATGATTTTAAAAATGGGGTGCAAACTCAAATATCACCCAAAACATGGGGTGCAAACTCAAATTCTCCCTAAATTCTACCAGTGTAAACTTTGAAATTAGA